TAAATATGAGTAGCATTGCAAGTATTATCATCAGTAATCATGTGTAGCCAAGACAGTGATATCGAAGTAATCGTTGAGAGTGACATGTCTGATAGTGAGATGGGAGATATTGATTGTGAACTTGATCAATTTTTGAAAAAACGCAAACACGTTGATGATGAAGATCAATTTTTGAAAAAAAGCAGACACTTTGATGATGTTAACCCCTCTGAAGAACTTGACAAAATTCTGCAATCGTATGAGGATGCCGCAAAACGTGAAACACATTACCTGCTCCAAGTGACTTATATATTGTCAGGGTACGAAGTTCGATGTGGTATAAGCCCTGCGAGATCGTTTACTCCAGCAATCATTTTGGCTCAAAATTTAAGGTCTAGTAAAATATCTTTTGATACTTTCGAATGGTCAACGCTTATCGATATTCTCAAACAAAAGATAGATGATTTTTTCCATGAAGATTTACCTACATATCCAGACGAGTATGATCCTATAACATTTTCATGTGGTGATTATTGTACTATCAGACAACTGGTTTATGATGATATCAAATTCCTGGTTGTAAAGAAACATGATGTCGAATACTATTTGTGCGAAGACGAAGTTCACGAAATTCTTGAAACCAACAAATATTTAGTGTTAAATCGAGTATCTTTATTAGAAGAACTTAATTTCTGTTTATATTATCATAATATTATTGATTTTTGTAAATCATATGATGATTCCTTACAAATGTTATGTTCAATGCGTGAAATACTTCCAAATGATTTGTTAAACAATGCATTGAGAGAGTATATCTACTTTTATAAAATTTCTGTTATTAATGACATTAATAAATAATTTTTTAAAAAGACTGTTTTATTCTGACCCTCACTCAAATAAAACCAAAAAATGGTTAAACATATTTTATATTTTTTAGGAAAATAAGAAAATCAGGTTACGATTACATAAATTAAAATTATAAATATTAAAAAATAAAAGCAGTTACATGAAGTAGGTTAATTTTTTAATTATAAAAATGATACATTAAATTTTATCTCAAAGAATTATCTTAGTTTTAATATATAGACATATTTGTAAAAAGAATGAGCAGTTAAGAAATATGTACGTAGGAACAAATGTTAAGTTTTTATCAGGTGCCTGTAATTTACTATTTTCCACAAACGCTGCAAACTATTTCATCTACTGCTTGAGACTGGTATGTTACTAATTTAATCTTAGCCATCTTCAAATCTAAAACAAAATTATTTTAAACTATAATGCCCCCATGGTAGTGTTTCAAAAGATTTAGGAATTAAAAACCTTTTGTCATCCTTAGGACTTTTTTGACTGTTCTATGCTATATACTTGGTGAGCGTAGGAACGAATTGTACATTGAGTCATACATTTTTCTTTTGACGCTTCTAAACACTCTACATAATCCTCAAAAGTTATTTTATTTTTAATTACGTTATACCTAACTCCTTTGGATTTTTTAGTAGCTTTCTTAACCCCCTGAATTTTATAGGCATACATTTTTGATCGCAACCCTGCAAAATGTGTAATTATTTTACCGTTAGCTTCGTCTTTCATTAGTCCTGGTATTTTTTTGTTTACTAACGGTATACCGTATTGGTTATCACGATTATAATCAGATGTATCAAATTTTTCGATATGAGTATCAATAATGTCTTTGTAAGCATCATCACACTTTATTTCATAGATGAAACTATCCGTATCCGTATACATTATCTTACAATTTTCCACCCCTAGAGTTGGAAGCATAAAATTGTAATGAAAGTTGTACATACAAGTTTTCGAAATATCTAGAATAGTCATTCCAATATATAGAGGTTTATTGAAAACTAGTTGAGTCTTTTTAAGTTCAATAGCCATCAAATCTTCGTCGAAATTGTTCTGTTGTGAAATCTTGGGCTAGAAATTAAATTTTTGGCTCCGTAACGTCCCTCATATGAATTTACTAGCTTCACTGTCCTGTGAAATCGTATATTTTCCATAGTCTTGCCAAACACTGCGTTATTTGCAAGTTTAAACTGGTTCTTTGCAAAACAACTGGTAGCTGCAGCCCTCAAACGAGTGTTAAGCTCGATATAAGGCTTTAGCCACGCAGATTGCTTAAATTTTAACACTTTATGTATTTTTGTCAATTTTAAACCATGCGCCAAAGCTTGCTTCAAATTTCGGTAATGTAGAATGTATTTTTCTTTATTATATAATGTTGACATTAATTTAGTCAATGTTGAACCTGGTGGGACGCTGTGTTCAGCACAAAACGGAAAATCTTTATGTAAATCATGAATTCCTTCAGGATACTCTAAATCGACTTGTAAAACATACCCTTCCTGAGCATCGTTAGGGATTTGGGTGACATCTATGTTGGTATCTACCCATTCAAACCCGTCGTATGGTAGAAACTGAGACATGGCCCATCCATACAAATTATTTACATCGAGGTAAAATAGATACTTTGTAGACTTTGTAGGATCGTATGTCTACATATATCGATTATTAGCTTCAGAATATCGGTTACAGCAAACCGATATTCCGCCTCTAATGCCTTCTTCAATAAACATTACCATATCAACATCTTTCAAAATTCTTAATTTACATTTAGTGTACTTTAGCATACAATCCCATGTATACCCAGGCATTGTGTAATACCATGCAGGGTCTAAGCCATACGTGTTCAAAGCAGTTTCCCTGAAATTTTCCATAACGTCCGCAAGAAGAAGGATATCTGTGCGCATGTATAAATCACTATATTCACCTAAGTTTTTAATTGTAAACGATTGCCAAACGTTTCGCGCATGAGCATACCTCTCATCGCTAATATGCTCATCACATAATCTATTGTAAAATTGCTCTTTAGATGGCAATTGCGTATCATTTAATTTATTCAAGTTGCTGATGTAATCGTAAGGAAAAACACCTTTCTTAGTTAATAATTTAAAATTTTCTTCATTTAAATCGTTAAATTCTTTTTTTAAATTTTGCAAGTTTTCAACCGTTAAAGTGTTTACCAATTCGTCAAGACTAGCCCCCATAAATCTATATGAATCTATAAATCTAAATTTTATATTGGTTTCTGAATCGTATTGTGTAAACGAAATGTATTTTTCCATATTTATGGGGAGTATGCTTATACGCCCACGTTTAGCAATATCTTTTATGATAAAATGGCTATCATAACCTGTAAGGTTGTGAAATGCTATAGGTACCACAAACAATTTTCTAAAGTTCAGATTGCATGCCTGGTGGGCGCTTCCTCTTAATACACCGTTAAAGTGATCATGGTCAAGTACGATGACGTCTTTATTACTAAAATGTTTTTCACAAATATGACATATTTTAGCTTTAACTATATCCAGTTCAACAACCATTGGAATAATATTTTTGATTTTTGACTCGATAAAACTAGCTAAATTCGATAATTGGTTTGCAAACCATTGCATACAATCACTTCCTCTGTAGCTATTAAAATAAGAAAGACTATCATCATAGGAACATTTTAGGTAATAGCCTGCACTAAAAGCATGATGTTTTTGGTATTTAACAGTTTTTTCCGAAACCTTATCATCACAATTCTCTAGCTGTGATTCAAAGTCAGCATAAATTACAAATGGACATTTTTGTTTATAAACGTAATTCCTAAACTCTACATAATCAAATTTAGGAAATGATATTTTACATTTATTTTTATTTTGGCAAAGTTTTTCATGTTCATCCAGCCTCTCTTGACTAGAAAAATAATTTAGGCATCTGTCGCATAAGAATTTTTTATTATGATTTTTACTGAGTTGACTTGAAATTAATCTCGACAAATTTTTTATCCAAACATAATGAAATTTGATTTCGATATTTTCATTATCAACAGATGGCGCTTCGTAATCATTGAGTTTCGGAAAATACTGATCTTGTATTAATAATAAATTGACATGACGTTCCATTTTATTTTTAGTTTAAAGAGCAGGTACTATTACATAAAATGAACTTTCGTTTAATTCTAACGTATAAATGTTAACCGAAATTTGGTTAAATTTCTCAAATTTTGAAATTTGATTTAATTTAACTGGAATTTCCAACCCCTGTATATTTAGAACGGTGCTATAATGAGGATATGAATTCGTGCGTGATACGTTTCCTGTAGGAGGATATAAAGCGCTTACAATACTCCAAAAGAAACAACTTTGGTCTCTATTTTGAACGTTTATGCAAGCCTGTTTTTTTAAAATTTGATTAGGTAATTTAATGAAAGACGTGCCGTTACCCACTTCATACTTATTTATTGCTACTTCTAGTAAAACAATTTTACTGATGGCCCACCCGCTATTCTTTTCAGAAAATTCTGATAATTTATTTAGAACTATATCAACTACTTTATTATTAAACCAATCAGTCAAGTCCGTCCCTGCATCCACAACTGCATTAGGAGTAATAAAATACTTTCGATCTATTAATTCCTGATCACCTGACTGCTTTATGAAATCCCCCCAAAAAGTTGTATTAATTTTAAGCATTGACATTGTTTTTAAAATGTTCCTCACTCTAATTTTGAATAAATGAAATGTATCCTTTAAAAAATCTTTAATTTCTTTATGTTTTAAATTTATTATAATTCCTGTTCTAATTCTGCCTTTGAAAATAGCATTCACATCGATCCATTTGACTCGACTACCCCGTTTTAATCTCAAACCCACATTGTTCGAGATTAATTTTAACATGCACATCATTCTTTTTAATTCGGCAATTTTGATGTACATTTTACGCTTTAACCCTATAGAAAATTTAGTTTTTTTTAAAGCAAGTACACATTGTCTAATATGTCGATTAATTAATTTTAGTGAGACATTAGCAAGATGTTTAGAATAATTTTGTTCTATACTCTTAAGAACTTCATTAACTTTATTGACTGATTCTGACATTATAAGTATCACTTTTATAATTAAAAAAATAACTTACTGTTTTTCCACTTGTTTTTATGTTTCTAAGTTTCTTAGTTTTTTCTACGTCTGCTGTCCTCCTTCTGAAGATTGATTATTTTCTACTATTAGAAACGATAGTGCGGGATTCGTTTTTCCGACGTCCACTGTCCCCTTGAAAATAATTGAATATTTTTCTGGGATAAAATGTCGAAGGTTCGGGCGGTATGACTCTGTAACCCTTTGAGGTAGGAACGTGACACTCTCCTCTAGTTCCAGTAGAACCGCATCTCCAAATCTTCCCTTTGTTATTTTAGCTCCAAAATTTTTTTGCGGAAGATTTAGGGGTAGATCACTCAGTTTCACTACTTGCTTATTTTCCTTCATAAAAGAAACTTTGTTTAAAAAATTTACATCCATCTATAAACAAAAAATAAGTCTAGCTATACTATCAATCGACATGTTAAAATATTATGTTGTTAATTACGAAATTTAAAAATGAAATCAAATTTTTAAAAAATACTTTTTACTTTTACAAAATTAAAATGTACTTACTTTAATTATGATTATGGTTCGTTCACTACTGCTATAGAAATTTTATACGTGAGAAATTTACGATGTTACTAGAGCACTGTTTAATACATGTAATGTTGATACTTTGAAAACTAAGCTTTTTATATTATTTCCATATTTATGTTAATCGTTTTCGAATGTTCAATAATTAAATAAAATTCAATTAAGCAGGAACAATGTTGTGATTATTAAGATATGATAAAAATTTCCTTTAATTTCTTATAATAATTGTAAAGTAATAACTAAACTTTCCTTTTTTTTTTGTTTTTGTTTACTCATTAAAATACTATGAAACTTTCCTTTTTATTTTCTCTAATTGCTATTTATTTACCCATTAAGATACTATGAAAAATTTCTATTCGTTTTCTCTAATTATTATCAATGTCGTTAAATATCGTTTCCATTCAAATAATTTAAATATTAACAGAGATATAAATCAACACTGTAAATGATAGCTAAATGACGTTGAATTTAGATGCCTTAGCCAAGTCGCAAACCACCTATCCAAGTTTCAATTCTCAACACTGACAGGCGGCGCCATTTTGCGGCGACTTTTGAACTACCGTCCCCGTACGAACGTTGTTTCGCTTAGCCAAGTCGCAAACCACCTATCCAAGTTTCAATTCTCAACACTGGCCGGTGGCGCCATCTTGCGGCGACTTTTGAACTAATGTCCCCGTACGAACGTTGTTCATCTACTATGGTCTGGCAAAAAAGTTTAATTTTTTGAATGTTGTCAATATGACCCAAAAGTTGTGAAACTATTTCAAGAATTTTTGAAAGAAATGCAATAACATTTCTTTGTACATAAATAAAACGTCTTTTATCATAATTTTCTTTAAAATAAGTAAAAGTATCGATGGTCTTCTAACATGTCTGTAAATTAACTTTACACTCTTTGCAGTCAAAACTATTAAGTTTCTTAATAAACCCTGCAACATAACTAGTGGCCTGACTCAAATTCTGCTTCATTTTTTAATTTTATATATATTATTAAAATGAACTTTATCCTCACAGGACTCTGTTTGGAGGTGTGATAACAATATTACTAAGTACTACTATCTTTGGTGTATCTGGTTTTGAGGATGCTAAAGCAAATCTTTTAGCAGTCTTGAACGATTTGTGTTTGTAAACAATTTTGTATCAAAATATGATTTTCTCATAATGTATAATGATTGGGGTTGTAAGTGGAATGTTTAAAATACGACACCATTCCGTTTTTTGATCAATATCAGAAGGAAATTTAAAAATGTTTGTTCTTAAAATTTACGTTTGGAATGGGCCTTATAAAATGTACTATAACCATTAGAAATTCTGCGTTTATAATGAATTCTGCCTAGTAAAGACATGTTAAAGCATCAAAATACCTTTACTTGATTTTAAATAATCCTAAATAACTTATATCTAAAAAAATAAAAGTAGTTCCACTCACATGTTTTCGTCCTTCGTCGACAACCAAATCATGACATAACCACACATTTGTTTGATTTTGATGTTATTTGTTGACAGCGCGCGCGGGGCCCGCTATAGCGGGCAGCCAGCAGTCATGCAGCGGACAGAAAGCTATCTTCACATAGTACAAATAACTAAGTGAAGGTATGTTTTTTTTAGTTTGTTGTAATATATGAATTAAAATTTTTGAAACAACACTTTTTGTGTGTTACTGAACGAGATGTTATTAAATTAATCAATGTGCTTTACATTTTAATACAATTTTGCTATTGTAAAACGGACTTTAGAGCACCCAAGCGCGGAGGAGTATGCGCAGAAACGTGTTTACGTATTGTGTATATGATATAAACCCCCGTGGCACTGATAGCATGCCACTAGACATGGGTAACGCAGCGCTGCGTTGCGTTATTGCGTTAACGCAGTTGTATGCGTTACGAGCGTTGATACACCAGCTGTTACTGTATCAGCGCAACGCAATTTTCGATTGAGTCGAAAGGATCGCGAGTTGTTGGTGCGCCATGCGCCAGGCACTGATTGCGTTTTCCGTGACGAGTTGAAATTTTTAATTTACGTAATTCGTAATGTAGATTACCCAAAATCTATCAAGTAATTATGTTCTTTGCAACGTCACATCATTCTTTGTAGGATTGTAGGTCAAATTTTGTGGATTTTAACCTTGTACACTGTCAGTTTTTAGTTCTTCCCATTTTGATTGACTACTAGTATACAAAAGTTATATCCTTTTTATATAAATTGAAATTTTTGTATTCTTTGTAAAATCCGAACACAATGAAATAAAAAATGGGTGCATTACACTGTTATATTTTCGTTTATTTTTAAACATATAATTTAGTTAAATTCCCAATTGCGTTATTGTCTTGAACACGGTTTGACCCTTATAAAAGGACAGCCCGCGCTGAATAACACCGGTATCATGCGATACACCGAGGTGCAACGACTTCATTCGGCGCAGGCAGTGGTGTGACGCAATAACGCAATTGCGTTAACGCAATGAGTTGGCGCAATAGAGTGCGCCGGAGTTAGTAGGTTTGTTCGGGTTTCCTTAAAACTCGATGCAAACCGTCCGAGAACCAGTGGAACAGTCCATTTCTAAAGTATACGTCGCACATAACTATTAAACTGTCCACTGGTCAACTAGTTCTCTGATAGTTTTCAATGTATTTTAAAGAACCCGAACAGACCTATAGTATCAACGCAAAGAATTTTAGTGCGTTACCCATGTCTACATGCCACCCTGATCAACAAATCAGGTTAGATTTTCGGCGGCTATTTTATATGTGATAAGACCATGCCGCCGGAAGACGGTTTTTGTTTTATTAGATTCAACTACCGCCGGCGGTCGGCTAGCCAGTGCGTTTATTTAAAGGTAGTTTACAATTAATTGTTTTTCTACTACCGTGTGTAAAGTTGTACTTTTTTTCACTAGTTCTTAAAGTGAAAAAAAGTTATTTTAGTGAAAAAAGTAACTTTTATATTTCTAATATTAGTGAATAAAGTGTACGTTAGTAGAAAAATATTGTATGCAACTCGTGTGTAAAGTCCTTTTTTAATTCATGTGATTGTCGCACTCGCCTACGGCTCGTGCCCACATTATTCACATTCGTCAAAAAGAGTAACTTTACACACTTGTTGCATAAATAACTATTTTATCGAGAAATTTCATTAAATTATTATTTTATTAATTTGCAATATTGCTTTGAATTTGCAATTTTTTAAATTGTTACTTGAATAAAACTAATATGGGGGTTATGATGGACAATCAATGTTATTTTTAACAGACACGTTATTTGTGAACAGGTTGTAATTTCTGTGTGTTTATAAAATAACAGACCTGTTAAAAATAACACAGATTGCCAATCATAACCCTCTATATCGATATATCTTACTTAGGGTTGTCACCTGTCCTTTCTTGAAGCAAAATGTCCTTGCGACTTTTTAAAGCTTAAAATGTCCTTTTTACGGCAAGTGTCCTCTTTTATTTACGACAAAAGTCTTTTTTGACTGACAGCACATATTTTTGGAAGGGGCATGACATGGTTTGTACAAGACGAGTATGTTTTGGTTGTCGACTCCCCGTTTTTTTTTTATAAGTTTAGAAGGATGAGGACTTTTTGCTTTTTGTATACGAGAGCCCCTGTCAGCATCGTAGTCCTTTTTCACTTTTCAAAAAGGTGGCAACCCGAGTGTTACTTAAGTGGCACCATGTGGAAAACTTTTTATTTGTTTTATGAAAAAAGTTATTCGTCATAAAAAGTTCTACATGGTCTAAAAACTTAAATGAAATCACCAGGTATCAACTTTTTTCAGTCGTATACGAGGTTTGTCGAAAATTATGAATTTTACGCAGGAGTGAAGTTGTACCTTTATTTTTAATAATATCGAAAATTGTTATTAAGAAAATTTGATGTATAAGGTAAATACATTAGAAGTGCACCACTAATAAACATTTTTGCATCCCATCCCTTCGGTAGTTACAGCAATTTCTTTACCGTGATGTTAGCCCAACCAATGATATTTAAGCAAAACCAATATTGCACCGATATGTATACATTATTTACTCACGTTTAGCCCTAAATAAATTTTGGCCAATTCGCACGTGGATGCACATTTTAATACTCGTAATATTTCGTAGTACATCTCTGAATTTTAAACCAAATAGAAAGGAATTACTTTTTAAGCTTACTACAACATACTTGGTATTTTAGTTACTCTGTTGACAACACAGATAATGTGGTAACGTTAAATGTGTAACTTTATATATGTAAAATTTAATTTAAGTTAGGGATTTCTAAACCAAATTAGAATCATAAGAGATTTTAGGATCTTTTAATTTTGTTATTTATTTAAAATTATGTCTTCTCCAACAAAAGAAGAAAGGTTCTATTTTGTGTTACATTTGTGTTGAAATATATTTCCATATTTATGGTTATTTCAGTATCCTGTATTTAAAATTTAATTTCTTTCATAGTAAATACAAAAATGTTCAAACAAACCCTAATCACAGAAAAACTTATCTCTTCAAATTTCTTTTCACTTTGCGCATGCTCGATATGTTTAAATGTGTACCTTACCACATAACCGACGTGGTTAGAAGTAGTAGTTGTATGCTTTGATAACATGACGCCATGGAAGAAACCAAATTGTATAAATAAATATTCTGGTCACTATAGGATCTAGTAAGTTATGATGGTGAGCTTATAAGATTACTATTACGATAATCATAGGTGAAGGTACGTTTAATTTAAAAAATAAAGGACGAAAACGAGACAAAATTCAGCCCAACCCAGATGATAATACAAAAATTATATTAATATAAGTAGACCTTTAAAAAATTAAAGTAATTTGTAAATCACCTGTATGCACTTAAAAACAGTCCAACAACTTTAATTGCACAGATTTCACTCAAAATATAGATTATCAAGAAACCGCGGTATCTAACTAAAATACTTGTTTTATAAAAAAACTTCTAGTTACGAAAAACCGTTAGGATTTTCTTTTAAGAAATTGTTGTGACTACCAAAGGGAGAAGACGAAATAAGTTTTAATAATGGTGCATATTAGAGTATTAAGAGTGCATACCGATGCAATATTTTTTTGGGAAAATATAGCGTGGGGCTAACTTCACGGTAAAGAAATAGCTATAACTACTAAAGGGAGGGGGTGCAAAAAGTTTATTTGGTGGTGCATATAAGTGCATCAGGAGTGCATACCGGTGCAATATTTTTTTTTGTGAAAAAATCATTGGGGGGGCAAAATTCACGGTAAAGAAACAGCTATAACTACCGAAGGGAGGGGGTGCAAAAAGTTTAATTGGTGGTGCATATGAGTGTATCAGGAGTGCATATCGGTGCAATTATTTTTTTGTGAAAAAATCATTGGGGGGGGGGGGGAAATTCACGGTAAAGAAACAGCTATAACTACCAAAGAGAAGGGATGAAAAAAAGTTTTAATGATGGTGCATATTAGTGTAATAGGAGTGCATACAGATGCAATATTTTTTTGGGAAAATATTGCGTGGGGTTAACTTCACAGCAGAGAAATAGCTATAACTACTAAAGGGAGGAGGTGCAAAAAAAATTATTGGTGGTGCATATGAGTGCATTAGGAGTGCATAACGGTGTAATATTTTTTTTTGTGAAAAACTCATTGGGGGGGGGCAACTTCACGGTAAAGAAACAGCTATAACTACTAAAGGGAGGGGTTGCAAAAAGTTTAATTGGTGGTGCATATGAGTGCATGACAAGTGTTAACTGGTGCATTACAGTAAATCTTAAAATTTTCACTGGGGGGGCTAGCGTTCATTTGCCCCCTCCCCACAAAGAGATGGCTGTAGTTTTCCAAGGAAGGTGGTGCAAAAAAATAATTTATGGTGCATATTGGTGCATCACTAGTGCATTATGGTGCAATAGTTTTTTTTTGAAAAATATCATTGGGGGGGGGCAACTTCACGCACCTCAAATATCGATAGTTATAACTATCGATGGTGGCGATAGTTTTCTGAAGAAATATCGATACTATCGATAGTGCTATCGATAATATAATTAACCTATAAATATGACAAAAAAGAAGAAAATATTCAAATTTATAGTTTATTAATTAAAAATTGAGGTGCTTTCACTTTTCCAGGGTATATAAAACATAAAAACAACTAAAAATTGCACTTTTCAGTCCAATGTATTTCAACTTTAATATACGGGGTGTTAAATATTTAAAGCGAAGTAACAGTATGGACCAAAATAAACAAAAGTCTTAAAAAACCTGGGTCTCCATATTCAGAGATATGGTAGGTTATTCTTTTTTGAAACATTTAAATTCAATTATTTAGATAAGGTGTTCAAAGTGCATTCCTTCCATTTTCATGCATGCATGACATGTTTTTCTGAAGGATATTCAAACTATTATTAGCTCGAATTTGTTGTCATTTTTTGTTAATTAGTTGCTGCAGTTCTTCGAGCCAATTTCACAAAACATCAGCCAACTATGATAAGAAAGTTTTTACGAAATAAAAAATGAAGTAAAAGAAGAATAACCTTTCACATCTAGAAAACCGTAACTTTATTAGGACTTTTGTTTATTTTGGATCACACAGTTACCTCTATAAATATTTTTCAGTATTTTTTAACACTCCCTATATACTTACAACCAGTTTTTATAAATTAAAATATTACCAATATCATCTCTTTTAAAATAATTCAAAATATACGACTGTAATCGTTTTACCATTTTATATTTTTAATGAATCTCCAAGCACAGAAAAATAAAGACATTGACATATAAATTTTATAGGTTATATTTTTCTTATTTTTCCATCATATCTCAAACTTCGATAGTGTAACGATAGTTAAAGTTACTATCGATACTATCGATAGTGCTATCGATATTTGGCCACCTCTAGTTGATTTAAATGGACGGTGGTGCTGCCCAAAGTCAAGAACACGGCTGGAGATTTCCGTTTGTTGTTGCTGCAGCTGTCGAGTTCAGATGCAGTTTTAAGTTGAATTTAGTAGCGAGACCGTTTGCGCTAGTTTAGCTTGATTTACTTAGTTGTCGCAAGTAGTTTTTTCATAATATTTCGTGTAAAATGAATCAGGTTTCATATTTATTGGCGAATCCATTTGTACGTTTTTCTTTGAAGGATAAAATCAGAGTTAAAAAACTTGGTCGACCTACTTCCAACCCTTAAAATAACACAGGATGCGAAAAGTAAAAGTTCTACTTACAAGCGCCAATTTCACGTAAAAATATGAAGAAAATAAGTGGATTTGTGGATGTGAGATAAAAAATGCACTGTTTTGCTTTCCATGCTTGTTGTTTGGCAGTGAAAATTCCTGGAGCAAATTAGGTGTAACGGATTTGGGACACTTAAGCAATTTAATTAAAAGACATTCTCAAAATAAAACACACCTAATTAATGTTTTAAATTTAGCGAATATAGGTAAAGTGAATATTGCTACTCAACTTGACAGTGCTTACCGAATGTCAATTCAAAAGCATAATGAGAAAAATATATTAAGCAAAATAATCGATTAGATTAAGTTTTGTGGTGCATTCGAATTAGCTCTACGTGGGCACGACGAAAAAGAAGACTTTTTAAATCCAGGCGTTTTCAGAGGTCTTTTGGATCTTATGGGCAGTGTCGATTCGGCGATAAAAGATCATTTTAGCAGTGCGTTCAAAGGACATTCGAAAACAATACAGAATGAACTTTTAGACTGTATGTTATAGAGGTCTGTCAAGATGAGATACTACAACAAATTCATGTCTTCAAGTTTATTTCTATTATAGCAGACGACATCACCGACATTTCCGGCAAAACACAGACTTGCATTGTCGTGAGGTATTTTTACAAAGGAAAAATCTATGAGAGATTCTGGTCATTTGTTAATCCGTGTGGACAGGACGCAGAGGCTATACAGGGTGTTATTGAAATATACGTACATATTAAAATGGGGAATAGTATGTAATGACCAAAAACGATTGGCACCAATTTTAACTTCAAATTCTAAAATTTAAATATTGGGGAAGAGTCCCCTTTTTCGACCTACTAGTTTCCATATTTAAAGAAGTAAAATAAATCGAAATTGAACTTACCCATAGAAATTGCACTGTTGCCGTAGCAAAACCAATTAATTCAAAATAAAGTTTATTACAGTAATTGTTCAAAATGCCGTCCATTATTATTTACACACACTTGCAATCGTCTTTCCAAAGAACTTTGAACATTAGAAATTAGTCTTGGATTTTGTCGTAGTTCCTCGGCTACCGCATTAACTTTATTGGTTAATTGTTCAACACTATTAATAGGTTCATTATAAACCAGTTGTTTCATGTGACCCCACAAAAAGAAATCGCATGGATTTAAGTCCGGAGATCTCGGAGGCCACTTAGTAGGTCCATGTCTGCCTATCCACTTTTGAGGAAATCTAATGTTCAAAAACTGCCGTACGTTTAAATCAAAGTGAGGAGGAGCGCCATCTAGTAGGTACCACATCCATTGCCTTAATTGTAACGGTATCTCTTCTAGGAGTACTGGCAAAATATCTTCTAAAAAGTGGAGATATCCTGGCCCATTTAATCTGTTTGGGAGAACATAAGGCCCGATTAAATACTGATCTATTATGCCAGCCCAAACATTTATTGAAAATTTTTTTGATGCCCAGTTTCCCTAATGGCGTGAGGAGTTTCATCACTCCAAGTATGCGTATTGTGCATATTGAACACGCCATCACGAGTGAATGAAGCCTCGTCAGTATACAATAATATTTTTAGAAAATCAGGAATATCAACACATTTTTGAATCATCCATTCACAAAAATCCACTCTCTTTTCTTCATCACCTGGATATAAGGCCTGGACTTTTTGGATGTGATAAGGATGTAAACCTTGTTCTTTAAGTGTCCGCCACACAACAAATGAGGACACTCCAATTTCAAGACCTAGTCTTCTACAACTTAATTGAGGCCGGTTTTCAACAGCTTCCAATATTTCTTCTTCGGCCGCCAATGTTCTTTGTGTTCTTGTTCTCCCTCGATCTGCATTGACACTCTCAAATTTTCCATGGTCTCTTAGATGCTGAACAGTTGAAATAAACGTACGACAGTCCGGAATTCTCCGATTTGGAAACCGTTCGCGATACAGGATTTGTGCTTGCCGAGAATTTTCTCCAGCTGCCCCATAAACCAGCACTATATCCGTTAGTTCAATATTCGTAAATAGTGGCATCGTAAAAAAATATTTAAAAGTAATCGTAACAACACTTTTTACCAACTTGGAAATGACGCGCTCGTGTTAGCCAGATTCGTAAATCAACTAAAATTTTAATAATCTATAGTTTCAAAAATGTATAGTTTAAAAACAATCATTTATCAAATATTCTAGTTTTTTGATAACGAGGGTAGTAAAAACCAGTCTTCGGAAATAGAAATTAATTCGAAAATCTTGGCAACATGGTTATTTCTTACAAGACTAGTTTTCTTATCATCTGACAAAAACTTGCATATTAATTACTGTTGATGTTTAAAATAGGTAAATAAACCTAATTTATATAGGTCATCCTCAACATATCAGTGAAGTACGTTTGTTTTAGAATTAATTTTCAAAAATTAATAACTCCCTTAATAAGGGGTATTTTTAAAAAATAATATTTTTCTACATTCAGTGGGGATCTGCGCAATACCCAGTTTTAATATGTACGTGTATTTCAATAACACCCTGTATATCAGGTAGTTGTAGACGCTTTAAATGTCATGGTTAAAACCAACGTACAAAAAGTTATTTCCCAAAGTTACGACGGAGCAGCTGTAATGTCTGGAAAAATCAATGGGGTACAAGCAAAAGTCAGGAGCAAGTTTGTCAATGCATACTATACTCTTTGTTACGCACATCAACTAAACTTAGTTATGTCTCAGAGTGCATCAAGCAATAAATCAGCCAAAGTATTTTTTGCAAATTTGTCTGCTATTCCAACATTTTTTTCAAATTCCCCCGCACGTCTATCAGCATTAGATGAATCAGTTGCTCGTAGAATACCATCTGTTTGTACAACTCGATGGAATTACCAATCAAGGGCTGTAGATGTTGTTTCCCAAAATCGTTAAAAACTGATCGAATGTTTTGAAGAACTCCAGAATTCTTCTTCCGCTGAAACTGTAAGAAAAGAGAGTGGCTGTCTACGACTCTTGGAAGACTTTGATTTTAATTTTTGGTTAAACTTTTTCCATCGTCTAATGCCACACATCGATATTTTATTCAATCAATTTTAGTCGCGGGATTCATGTTGCTCTACAATAAAAAAAATATAGATACATTTTTGAGTATCATCGAGAAAGTGCGAGGAGAAGCATAGGATATTTTAAAAGAAGTTTCAGAAGGCTCGAGTGTGTGCTCCACAGCGCGCAAAAGAAACCAAGACTCTAAAATCCGCGATGCAATAGAAGTTTGTGATATTCTTTCTACACAAGCAAAGGACAGGTTTGAAAATACGGACTACGTCGATATTGCAGAATTGTTAAATTGTAATCATTTTAATCTTTTAGAAAAAAACTTTCCAGAATCTAAACTTACTTTGGCTGTAAATCACTATTCCTTTTTAAACAAATGTAAACTTAAAACTGAGCTAACGGTGTTATATGAAAGACCAGATTTCAGAAATTTTTCTGGTCTCCTATCACTTTTAAATTTCTTATATGATTACGACTTAGATGATTCATTTGATGAAGTAATAACATTAATTTTAATTTTGGTTATAACACCCATATTCACGGCAGAAGCAGAGCGTTGTTTTTCGACTTAAAAACGAATTAAAACTTTTTTTTGCGAAACACTATGTCACAGGACAGGCTTAATGCTTTGACAATGTTATCAGTAGAAAAGAGCTGAAAATTTTAACACGAAAGAAAAATTTGTGAATAAAAAAAATAGGCGTATGGAGTTTGTATACAAAAAATAAATTTCAATAAGTTTTAGGCACTTCAAAATGCTTTTTCTGTTCTTTTATGTGTTTGGTTTAGAATTTTAAAAGTTTGTTTGTTATGAATAAAAAATTACAATAAAAGAAGTTCTCAGTAGAGTCAGTTTTGTTTTTTTTTGTATTTTCTACTTTTAGGTACCTGAATTGGAAAATTATCAAATTAATTCAAAATTGCGCAGCACACAGCAATAAATTGTCACGAGCCGCCACTGCAAATAGTAGTAGCAAAGAGTAACCAAAATAAAAAAAATCTAGAGGAGCTACTCATCTATACAGAGTGGCCCAAAAGTCTGGAAACGGCCAATTATCTCATAAATTGCTGGTCCTTATTGTACAAAATTTGGGGTACACCTATTTTGGGATGCGGTGATTCCAGATTTGATATTTGCAATGTAGCCAGATTTGCCGTTTCTCTTAAATTATTAGTCACTTTGGTTTTTTAAATTCATCACCCTATATATTCAGTCATTATTGGAATCTCCTATTCAATACGAGTTCAACCATATGTAACAGTTATGATTTTATTTAGTCTGGAAGGTCTTAAATAAATAAAATAAGTCTGGCAACGCCTAATTGTCTCAATAAATTTTTTAATACAAACTATTTTCAACTACATTAAAACGTAACAATTAAAAGATTATTACATTTTTAACATAATAGTTACTTTATCAAGTGTTCAAAATGTGCTCCATTTGTGAGTTGACAGTACCCTAATCGATGGTAGAATGCGTCTACCACATTTCTCCATGATTGTTTTATTTATTTAAGAGGTTGGAGTGAGTAAAGATTCTACACATGCAATTTTGTGTAAAGATTTGAACATGTACCAGGTGGCTGCGAAATTCGTACCCAAGTTGTTGTTGCCGGAACAAAAAGAGCTTTGTTTCGACATTGCACAAGACCTTCTGGACACCGTCAATACTGATCCTGGGTTTCTGAACACCGTGATAACTGGAGATGAGTCATGGGTGTATGGGTACGACCCAGAAACAAAAAAACAGTCGTCGCAATGGAAGCATCCCGATTCTCCTAGGCCGAAGAAAGCGCGTCAGGTGCGAAGTGATGCTGTTTTCTTTGATGTCCGTGAAATTGTGCATCACGGATACGCACCGGAAGGATAAACAGTGACAAAGGAGTACTATCAAGATGTTCTTCGGCGTCTTCGTGACGCAGTTCGGCGCAGAAGACCAGACATGTGGACGGCGAACAACTGGCACTTGCATCATGACAACGCCCCTGCACATTCATCCCAATTGATCAACATTTTCTTCGTCAAACATGGAATTACAACCGTTCGCCAACCTCTCTACCCTCCAGACCTGGCTCCTTGGGACTTCTGGTTGTTTCCAAAATTAAAGACGCCATTGAAAGGATCCCGTTTTGAGAGTAGAGAAGAGATAATGCGGAACGCGACGACGGAGCTGAACACCATTCCAAAAGAAGACTTCCAGAGGTGTTTCCAGCAGGGGAAGGGTCGGTGGGCTAAGTGTGTGCAAGCACAAGGGGCCTACTTTGAAGGGGTTTAGGGTCCTGACTCCGTCAGTTATTCGAAATATTTTTCCTGGCCAAAAGTCGGATACTTTTTAGACAGGCCTCGTATTTTGTATCAAACTGTAAATACTATGAAGTAATAAGTAAGCAAAAAACCCGCTAAAAAGAAAAATTTATGTGTTCTGATAAGGTAACTACATCATTATGGAAATGTACAATAAACGTTTGATAAAGATAATGACACAAATGGTTTTTCACTTTAACAGTCTGAATCGGAAAAATGGATCAACTAGTTGAATTTAATATACCTACTCATAATGAGAAACTAAGAAATGGTATGTACATTTAAATAGTTCTTAAGTTATTTTTGCCTGAAATTATCAATCGTGTTACCCTCTAAAGTCTGTTTAGATTGCATTTACGCCGCGTCAAAACAATCCCTTTCGCCGGCAACCAGCTCACGTGACATTTTCTTGCGATCCTATTGGCTAATTGGTCGTTTTTAGACAACGCGCAAATATTTTTGTCAGAGTCGAATTCAGTTTAATTTGGTTTTCGTTGCGATTACACTGCGCTTGCAGATAATTAGAAACGACTTTTTGGTAGTATTTACGGTGATTAGTTTGGACATTTCCTTACTTTATTTGACCTTTGATTGACTATATTTTGTCAGTGCTGCGTGAATTTTACGAATTTAAAAACATTTTATTATTCAGATATACTTTTAGTTTAAAAAATAAAAAAATAAAATTATCCTTTTATTTTACATTTTTGCAAGACGGAAAAGTAAAATACGGCTCTGCTCAATTTAAGCATCCACCTGCTTATGTTTACAACAGGCGTAAATGCAATTTGAATAGACTTTAGTTTAGATTTTGTGCATACAAACCTGGTAAATTAGTTTACAGTTGGTAATAAAGTATGTCTCGAAAAGAGCAATAAGTATCAAACAAATTTTGATTTTGATTAGGCACTTAACAAGTCACATTTCACATATCTACACGCTCTGGGTCATCAATCCTATAAGTATATATTAAAACATTAATATACTATCTACAATTAATAATTTGAAAATACAGATGAAGCCGATTTACCTATTTAGACAAAATACTATTATTTATTGAAACACATTATTTTTTAGTAAACTTGGACATGCAAAAGTCAGCCATGAGCGTAGGACATTAGTGAGAGCAAGAATACTTTGGAATGTGCTGTAAAATACACAGAAAGGGTCATATGGAGAATTAAGTGTGATAACATTTTACGATGTGGATCTCACTATTTTAGTGCACACTAAATGTTCAATTATGTGCTGCTATTTCAAACCTTTAGTATCCTTTGATAAAAGAAGTTGAATATTAATGTTGACCTTTTTAAATTGTTTATTTTACCCTATATATCTTCATACATTATTCTGTGAAGATTATTATAGCTTTACTTTGTCCGTCTGTCCGATGTCACGTTTTTTGTCTGCACGATAAGTCAAAAACGAGAAATGATATCGACTTGAAAATTTTAAGCAAAAATCAACCTCTATAAGGGGACAAAGCCTATTGATTTTTAACAAATCTGATTAAAAATAAGAGGTTAAGATGGGTTGAAATTTAAAAAATCCCAAGTTAAAAACGAAAAGCAATATCAACATGAAATTTTTAGTAATAGAATGAATGGAATATTACGTAAAAAAAGGGCTGATTGTAACAGTCGAAAAAAATAAGATAAACGTGTCTCAAACGCGCTTACCTTCTGTGCTGCATCATATGGTTCGTCGGATGAAGTAGATGGTAATATTAGTCCAGTAGCCAAGACCGGGCCCGGTTACACAATTTATATAACAACGTTTATTATACAGGATTTATAATAGCGGATTTAACGGCACATACACACCACAAAGCGTTCGTCGCGGCAATTTCTGTAGTACTCTTCGTCCAACGGCGTTTCACTTGTCTTACAGTCAGACGAAGCGCATGTGTGGGCCAAAGTTTTAAGTAAGCGATTTGAGACAAAGCGCGAATATTTAAATAATAAAATAGGAATTAATTCATTCTGGAACATTTCCTGCCCCGAAAAAATGTAAATAATACATTTTTAAACTGATTAGACAATTCCCCAAAATAAAAACTAAATATTAAAGCAAAAAAAAGGAAAGTTCAAATAATAGAATTAAACCAAAAAAACAATTATAAAATACTACAGGTAGCATATAAAAAAAAAAATTAATTATTAGGTAGTGGACACAGTTTTACCAATGGCCGTTTTAAAATAAAATTTTGTGTTTTTACCGTAGCTACTCTGGCTATGTTATCATTACCAAAATGCAGTTGAGTAACACGGCCTAACAACCATTTATTAGGAGGTAAATTATCGGTTTTAACCAAAACTAAAGTACCAAGTTTGGGGGTGTTAGCAGGGTCTAACCATTTGGCTCGCTGCTGTAGGGTATGCAAATATTCTTTATGCCAGCGACGCCAAATATCTTGATGGATGCGCTGTAACAATTGCCACCTAGAAAGGCGATTTAGGGGGACGTGTTCGAAACTGGGAACGGGAAATGCGGTTAAAGGTTCCATGGTCAAGAAATGACCGGGCGTTAAGGCGTTGATATCGTCGACATCATTAGATATGGCAACTAGTGGTCTAGAATTTAATATGGATTCTATAAGTGTCAGAACTGTATAGAATTCCTCAAATGTGAGAATTTGATCACCTACGACGCGGCGAAGGTGAGTTTTAACACTTTTAACGCCAGCTTCGGCTAGACCATTAAAGTGAGGAGCTCCGGCGGGGCTAGGAAACCATTGAATAGTTTCACTTGCGCTGGCCTGTTCCATAAGAGAAAGCAATTCGCGTTTTGCACCCATAAAATTTGTGCCACAATCACTGTATATCTGTGAGACTTTTCCACGCCTTGCAATAAATCTTTGTAGAGCGGCTAAAAATGTTGGTGTAGATAAATCACTGGCAAGTTCCAAATGTACAGCTTTGGTAGCCAAGCAGACAAAAATGCAGAGGTAAGCTTTGCAACTTTTTACTCCTCTGTGACGACTAATAGTTATATTAAATGGGCCTGCGAAATCAACAGCGGAGCGACCGAAAGGTTTTACCTCAGACACTCGAGACAGCGGCAAATTTCCCATTGGGGGTTGATAAGAGGTAGGAGATGTTTTCCAACAGCGTAAACATTTCGAAATCACTGAGTTAATGGCTCGTTTTGAGGATAGAACCCAAAACTGTTGAGCTAGTAAGAAGTGAGTACTTCTAAAGCTAGCATGAAAATACTTTTCATGAATGTGGCGAATGACGAGTGTAGTTAATAGACTTTGTCTAGGTAATAATATGGGGTGCTTAGATGAATAAGATATAGATGCATTATGCAGTCG